AAAAAAAGTACAGCTTTTGAATTTATTCCCTCAACAACAAATTCTCAAAATCCAAGTTCTTGAAAAAAATTAAAAAAAAAAAAGTTCTTGAAAAAAATCACACACTTTGACTATTAGTAAAATTCTTGGATCATGGAGATTTCTAGCTTCAACTGCTTAGCTGATTTGGTACAAAATCCATTCATCTATTTCTTTATTTTTTATTTTTCTTCTTCTTTATATACTTATAAATATAAATTCTTGATTATTTTTAGAAAGATTGCATTTATATTCATTAATTTGTCACACATTATTATTATTATTACACTATTACAGGGAATGGGAGATCCTTTTCTCATGCAGCAGCAGCAATGGCCTCATAATGTGGACTCGATCGATGGCCTCAGCTCCATCACCACCACCACCACAGCTTCGACATTCTCCGACGATTACAATTTCGGTAACTATCAATCTTACAATGATTATCATATCGACGATAATTATCAACCCGTGCTCGACTTCAAAAGGCCATCGCCCGAGCCATCGTCTCTAGTAGTGGACGAGTGCGGTAATACTAGGCCGTCAAAACAGCTAAAAAACGTGAGAAAACACGATTCAATTAATTTGGTCAACTACTCAGGGCTCGTGAAGCCGAAAGAGGAAATGTGGTATGGTTGGTCGGGTATGGCCCTGAACTTCTCGTCTCCGGAGTCGGTTATCTCGACCGGGAACCGGAATTGCGTGCTGAAATCGTGCCAAGGGGCGAAGAGGGTAATTAGCACGGGAAATAACGCGCAAGATCATATTATGGCTGAGAGGAGAAGAAGGGAGAAACTTAGCCAGAGGTTTATTACACTCTCAACTCTTGTTCCTGGATTGAAAAAGGTAACTGTTACTACCGTCCCGTTACTGTATGATTCCGTTTATTGTTTTCACGTCAATCTTTTGGATGATCGAAAAGTGTTTTTGATTTATTTTGAAATTGATTAGATGGACAAGGCCACTGTTCTTGGTGATGCAATAAACCACATAAAAGAGCTCCAAGAAAAAGTGAAGGCCCTTGAGGAGAAAACCCGAAAGAAGAGAGTGGAGTACTCGATGGTTTTCGTGAGTAATAATCCGTCCTCGGACGAGCAGAGCATCTCGAGCAGGATGCCCGAGTCGTCGTCTCTCCCGGAGATCGAGGCCCGGTTTTGCGACCGGGAAATCCTCGTGAGCATCCACTGCCAGAAGAGGAAAAGGGTTGTTGAGAAAACAGTGGCTGAGATTGAGAAGCTCCATTTGACAGTTGTCAATAGCAGCATCATCAGCTTTGGAGATTCAGCTCTCAATATTACAGTTGTTGCACAGGTTTTTTTTTTGTCTGAATAAATAAATAAATAAATAAATAAAGTTTTTCCTATTTTAATGTTTTTTTTTT